AACAACACCAATGTCATTTGTGAGAATATCCACCGAGTTATCTCCTGGAACAGTTACAGCAATTTTGAACTTCCTTGGCAGGAACTGAGTTCCATAAATGGGCTCAGGTGAATCAGGGAAATTTGTTCCATGAGTATTATCAGTTCGAGCCTTCACTACTTCTGGAGGTTCTGCTGTCATGATTCTCTCCCCATCCACCCACATATCATGGTAGAAACCTGACTGAGGGGTTAGAACTGCAGCAATATTTTCTGCTGTTTCCTGAGCAAAAAGATAATCTTTTCCTGCAATTGGAGCAGCAGGAGCAAGAACATTTCTGTTGAGATCACCACACGCACCAAGAGTTGAACCCATGCTCCTAATAATACTGCTCATCACCGTCTTAGGGCCCTTCTTCAGAACACCATGGAGCTGAAATGTTTGTCTCGTAGTCAACCGAAGTGTCCACTTCCAAACTGATCAGCAAGATCAACCATAGTCAAGTAAAGTTTGTTTGAGACTTTTCCACGATGATTCTTAGTCCGAAGCATAAACAAATAGGACTTGGCACCACGCCCATCCCTGTTATACTGTTGATAACTTCCATGAAACTTGATAAGTTGTGTGGCAGCCTCATTTATATTGGGAGCATCTGTCAACAGCTCCTCATTAAGAGGGTATCTTATGTAATTGCTTCCTCCTTTAATTATTTCAACTTACTGCGCTTAGTTTCAGTTGGGTGTCAGGCTTCACTGGCTGCAAAGGGATTGCACAAGCTATCAATCAGAAAGAAATGGTTTCCAATTGAGCCTAAAACTAGAACCTGTTACGACTGGTGATCTTGACTTACTAAGAAAGTTGATATTTTTAAGCCAAAAAAGGGTTAACCACATCTTTTCCTTTCAACTCAATCCTAGATAATCAATAAAATTCTTAGGAAACAAAAAGTTCCAAAAAGAAATATGTATTCCTTCCTATAAAATTGAACTAAAAACATTAAAATGAAATCAATGCTCTAATCTTTATCTAACTAAAGCAGGAAAAAAGGAATCTCACCGTTGAAACAGCTCTGCTAACAGATGGAGTCGATTTTGGAACCAGAAAAACGAGAGGATTCCGGTTGAAAGCGAGAGAATGCGAAGGTTTGAAGCCGATGAACCTGTGCACTCGAATCTCTGGATCATTTGGTACCACAGTGGTAGTTGCAGCTCCATAAGTCGTCGCCATGGATCCGAAATCGAATGAAATCGAATGCAAAACCAAGATTCTCAGCTAGGGTTTAAGGATTCTGCTTTTGGGAAATTGGGAAATGAAGAAGAAGAAGAAGAAGAAGAAGAACGGTTCGATGAAGAGTTATAAAAGCAAGAGACTGTGCTGTGCTAATATAAGCTGTTTTCATCGATGTAATATTGTTCCGGTGGTAGGTGTTTGGTTTTTATTGGGTAATGTTTTTTTTTTTCTTTTGAAATAAATTTGCAAGTAATCGGATTCCAACCATTGTCGAGAAGAAGAATGCACTTTAAACATGGTTTGATTGAGGTAACTGGATTCGAAAGTAAAGTGTTATTAGGTAATGTTTTGAGTTTGAATATGAAACAAATACTGAAGAGTTTTCTTTTCTTTTCTTTTTTTACTTTGTTTTTTTTTTTTTTGGACAAACTGAAGAGTTTTCCTTCTTTTCTATAGGGTATAATGCAATTTGATTTTAAGTTAAATGTTAAATTTGGTCTCTCAACTTTAATAAGTTACACATTTTTGGTCCTTTAATAATTTTTTGTACTTTTTTTATTCTTAAACTTTAAGAAATGCATTCCGTTAGTCCTTCTATTAATTTAGATCGTTAATTCGCTCATATGACATTTTTTATAGTTTTTTTGATGATGTGGCAAAAACAAATTGAAAACGTGTTGACGTGAAATTTTTTTTCATGCCAACTCACGTGATTACTATTTATATTTAAAAAAAATAAAAAAATTCCATTCATCTTCTTCCTTTCTCTTTTTCTTTTTTTTTTCTTCCTCTCCTTTCTTCCTCTTCTTCCTCAGGTCATCGAACCTAGTTTGCTAGGTTCGACGGAACCCCGCCTGGGTTCCACCGAACCCAATTGCTGGGTTCGACGGAGCCCAGCAAATGGGTTCCATCAAACCCAGATCTGTTGGGTTCGGTGGAACCCAGCCTGGGTTCGACGTTGGGTTCCGTCGAACCCAGCTCCACTTTTTTTTTTTTTTTTGTTTATATGATTGTTTGCCAAGAGATTATCCAAATTGCAGGTTGTTGCGGATTTTTGGGCAATTGCAGGTTGTTGTTTTTGAGGGATTTTTGGGCAATTGAGTTCAGTGAATCGAGTTGGGTTTGATGGAACCTATTTGCTGGGTTACATCAGATTTACTTTTTTTTTTTTGGTTAAATACCTTTTTTGGTCCCTCTACTATAGTAAAAAGCCCCTTTTTAGTCCCTATACCGAAAAAATCCCTTTTTTGGTCCTTACTGTTTGAAATTTGCTCCTTTTTAATCCTTCCGTTAAATTTTTGCTGATGTGGCAAGTTAACTAACGGAATCATTTAATTATTTTTTATACAAATAATATTACAAAGGAGGTGGAAATTATGTGGATGCCACCTATACAAACCAGAATGACGTGAAAATTATTGAGCCATGTAAGCTTGTTTCCGACTTTGTAATTCAACCTCTTCCAAACCAGAATAACATGGCCCAGTAAAAATGAAAGTGTTGGCCGGAAAGTGCAGGAGGCGAGTGCCCCTAGCACTCCTCAATTAAAAATTTTACATTTTAATTTATGAATTTAAATAAGATTAATTTTAATTTATTCATCTTCTTCTTTCTCCTTATCCTTATCCTTGTCCTCATCCTCATCCTCGGCATCATTAGCATCCTGCTCGTCATCCTCTTCATCATCCTAGGTTACTTGTAGAACCCCCTTGCTGGGTTCCACGAACCCAGTTTCTAGGTTGCTTGCAGAACCCTCTTGCTGGGTTCCTCGAACCTAATTTTCTGGGTTGCTTGCAAAACCCAAAAAAATGAGAAATT